GTGTGTGTGTGTATGTATATACAATATATAAATGGTATGATTGCCAGGAGAAACACGGAGAAACAGGAGAAACACGTCTTGCAAAAAAAGGGCATAATGACCTAGAGCTGCATTGTGTTGGACAGATGAGGCTTAAGTGGAATCTTTCACTAATAAGTGTATTAGCACAGTCACCTCGTTCCAAACTTTTAACAGTATGGAGCGGGACAGATATGAGCCGGGTTTAGCTACTGAATTTATTTTGAACTCTTCTGTTTAACACAGTATGCAAAGACTGTGCAGTAGTAAATCGGGGACCTGTATTGTGAAATTGCTTTTCAGCAGCCAGTGAATCCTGAGGAATAAAAGCCTTGAGATTTCCTGATCAGATCAGGAGCGCTTAAATTCTCTTAACCTTCTCCACGTTCTTTCCTACTGAATAGTCCCTCATTATAAATACGTGTTATTATTTGCATTTTAATTTAAGTATATATTTATATATATATATCTATATATATATCTATCTATATATATAGATAGATATATATATGGATATATACTGACTTTTTGTTATGGAAGTGAGTTTTGCTTTCTTTTGAAGGCAAAGAGACTGGTTGCTACTGGCTTCATGTCTATGCTTCATTATGCAGTATGTAATGCATTTCTTTGTCATATGCATACATGCTTCTGATACTTTATATTATGACGGATCATTGATATTTACCTGAAAACTGAAAGGTCTTAGGTAGCCATTGCTTAGCTGATATTAGGTGTAGGTTGGATAACATCCACGCTGTCAATAGATCTTCTTTTGTAAGGCACTCTCGACGTTCTTTCATTGTATTTTCAGTATAATGTATTACATTGTTCTGGTATCATATCGATAGCCAATAAAGACAACTTGGAAATAAGAAAAGGTTGGTGGTCTGCTAACCTATAGCAGACATAAAGAACAAGATGCACAGACATCAGCTGATATAGTTGTTTTTATTATAGGAAGTGTGTTGGTGATTGACTAAAGTTATCTGATACTGGTTTAAAATAAGACAGAAGTTCAGTGGGAACGTTAATAAAAAGCTTACAGAACAAACATCTGATACAGTAGCACTGATTTGCATCTTCTTTCTGAAAGAACATATAACAATTTTTCATCCTGATGCCATCATGGCTCCAGGTTGACGTTTACAACTTTATGGGATTCCATAAAAAGGTGGAATGGGACCCCATCAGGGTGCCACGTGAATCATTTTTCACAGGGAAGAATGACTCACATTTAAATCGGACATAAGAGCTCATTTTCCTGTACCTTTTAACCTATACCTATAAAAACAAATAATCAAAATGGGATTGTTTGTCCATTTTAATAACTCATATATGATCGCAAAGTTTGCCAAACAACTGATATGCATAGAATTTGACTGCACACATACAGCACGTGTTATATACACACTAGGGATACTAGGGATATTTATTTTGGGAGGTGTGTGTCTGGGATTTCTGTGAGGCACATAAAAGCTGCCTAATGTGGGTTTGCCACAGAGGAAGGGGTTTTTAATGGGAAAAGAGAAAGCATAATGGGATAATAAAAGACACCATCAAATAAACCTTCATTTGATTTTCATTGCATTTGGCTCATTGACTGGCGTCAGCAACCAGGATACTCTGTAAACACCTCTTGGATTGTAGACTGAGGTCATGTGCATGCACTTTACTCGTGTGTTTACGTGTGTGCTTTTATTGCTTGTAATGTGTGCAAGCCTGATTCAGAAATTAGCGGCCTTACACTTCTATGGAGACTTTGCCCAGTTCTGACAAATGTGTTGGTTCTTTTTGGATGAAAAAGTAGCTGGCTTATCTCAGATCCTGTGCTGAAACCAGCAAAAGCTGCATGTTGCTGCCAGATATCTAATCACTGATCAAACCACAGACAATTGTATATCTCGTAGAAGTTATACTGAAGGGAAACTTGAGAGATGAACATATTTAGGTATTAATGTTTTACTCTAGCTACAGGGACTGACCGTTGATTGCAACTCTAAATATAATGATTTATTTCAATCTTATACAGCCTATAAACACTTTATCCATTGTGGCATTTGTGTGTTTAACAACAAAACAAAGCAGAAAAAAATTTCAGTTATAGTTAACCCAAATGACCCTATAAATAGTAAGAAAATAAATGGTACAAATGTATTAATCGTTGAATTCAGTAATCACATAAAAACATCCAACTTTGAATTCAATTTTATTTGTGAGAGGGGAAAAACATTTTTTTTAAGTTTTCAAGATCAAATTTTCCTGGTACCCTTGCTGTTTTTACAGTGCACTCGATCTTTTTGTCCATTTGAGGGTATGTAGTCTTCTTCTATTACATTTTCATATGGAATTTATCAAAGTAGGAAATCGGTTGAATAATAGATCCCTTTTTTAATTGTTCATGGGTTTCACGGTAATTAGCTTAATGGGTTTAATTCAGTGCAGCTCTGGGTAAAAAGCAGGATATGTATGGGTTCTAAATTTACTACCATAACCTTAAAAGCCATTTAAGTTCCACCAGATTGTTCCCAACTGCTTTTTGCTATTTTTTATTTAGTAAACTCATGTGGGTCCTTATAAAGCCCTTTCTGAATTCAGGCCCACTTAGTATTCACATAGCCAGAGGAAAACCATATACATATTTCCATATTTAACCTCAATTGAGCTCGTCTTTCTTCATCAAGCTTTTGCCAATTTCCATACAAAAACCAAATACATTTAGTGTTTTACATAAAACCTTATAGAAAATGAACATATACCGGTATGCAGGGTCTAAGAAAATCTAACTGTTGTAAGGTGTTGTTATTTTTGTTCACATTAAGGTTTAATATTGTTTTCTTACTGTAAACCACCTACATATAAAAGCACATTACATTTAGAAAAAATGCTAGCATATCCATAGGTCAATGCGCAACAAGCAGAGAAAATACAAGCTTATCTTGAACTTTGCATCATTATGTTTATGTTGCAAGACCTTCAACCTAAATTTAGCTCTTAAAGGGAATAAAAGTATTGAGCAAAAAAAAACTAAAAAAAACTAAAAAACAGTTTTTACTCTTAAGAGAACTCAGTGTTCTGTTCAGTGTTTGTGTCCACAAATTGTCTTCATACATGATGTGTGCAACTGGGATGAAAAAGTATGAGCATATATGTCATAAGTTCTCTGTTATATCTGTAGAGCAGCAGCCCCCTGTCTTTTGTATGGAAACAGCTTGAACATTGACAAAAGCAGTGCAGTCTCCCCTATCTTTGAGCTCTAAAACATTTGCTGTTTCCTCTTCATGTATGGTTGATTCTACAGCATCCTGTGCACAAAATGTCATGCAAGGCTTGTCCTGCATCGCTGCAAAGGTGTTACTTTGCATCTTGTGTCCATTGGGTATGCCGCTGCTTTGAAGTGCATCTAAATTTAACGTCCAGTGTCTAGAAGGCTCTTGTTTAACTTCATCTTTTGACTGATCAGAATCCAGGATGTAGTTATTCACCACTGTGCCACACGTTGAACCCTCTTTACTTGTTTGGGATCCCCTTCGGATGCTGTTGCAGCCAATATCTCTGCTGTCTATACTCCCAGCTCCAATTCCATCCCTGTCTGTCTGCCTTAGGATGTGTTTGTGAAAAATCTTTCGAAAAGTCTGTCTGAACTCCCTGATCCGGTAGGCGTAGATAAAAGGATTCACCACAGAGTTTGCATGGGAGAGGATTATGGCAATGTTCATCACCCAAATTGTTGGACGCTCGCAGTCCTTACACAGGTGGTTGACGCAGTTAATGATATGTACAGGAAGCCAGCAAAGAGCAAACAAGCCCACGATAATGGCCAGTGATTTGGCAGCATGCACTTCCTTCTGCAGGAAAGACCGGGAAGAGTTTGAAGAAGGTGCTCTTTGTCCAGGAAGAGGCATGTGTGCAACCTTGATGCTCATCTGACGGAGCTGCCGTCTCGCTACCATGAATATATTGATGTAGATGACCAGCATGACTAACAGAGGGGTCAGCACGAAACCAAAAAAATTAAAATAGATCATATAGTCCAGGGGAACTACTTTTTCAAAAAAGCATTGGGTCATGCCTTCAGGGCATCGATTTGTACCTGTGCTGTTATCTGTGGAGTTCCTTCCTGTGCAACATTGAAAAAAGAGATTAAATGTTAGTCTTTAATTCACATCAACCAGATTTTTTTTACTGTAACAGAAATAAAATGCATACAGTCATTTTCCAGGGTCAGCTGCAAAGTGATACTGTAATTTTTCCACAAGCAAAAATAGAATTTTTCAATGAAAAACCTCAAAATAGCTTACAAAGTTAGAATGAAGGCAAAATAAATCAGAAATTGAGACAGGAGGTGACAAACAGGAGATTTTAGTAAGGATACATGAAAAATAGGAGAGAAGTGGACACAGCTAAAAAGGAGGAAGACATCGAGCTGAGGGAGAAGAATAATACTATAGAGGAAAAACAGGAACACAATCTAATATGATAAACATAAAAATAAAAGTAATATACATGTCAAGAAATAATCATCAAAAATACACAATA